TACGGTGTTGAGATTCAGCGATGGGATGTGGATCCCAGCTCTGGAGAAGTTGACAAGCACTGGCTCAATTTCAGCCCGCTTGGTCTGCCAGTCCAGACCAAAGGCTCACATATCTCAACGCCTATAGGTATGCGCACTGTAGTGCAGCCTTACGATCTAGTGATCCCGGAAGTAGGCGCGAAATTGACCGTCCGGAAGTTGCAGCTTGCTACATCCGAAGAAACAGTACGAGGAACTACTGAGGTTGAGAAGAAACAAACAAATGCCGATCGCGAATTCGCGGAGCGTCTATCCAAATTACAATCACAAACTGTCATCTGGGCTGGAGACCAAATATGGTGGACAGTACGAAACCCTTTAGTGACCCGATTGGATTCACGAATCGAAGCGGCCCAGTATGCGCTCATTGGAGATGCGACACGCATCCAGCCTGACAGAAGAGTCATAGAAACCATCCTAGGCGATATTCGCGGACAAGAGCCGCGCAACGAGTCTGAATACCTTAGTCTCATATACATCCGTCAAAAAGCCTCGCTTATGCTCTTTATGGACGTGGTTCTACGTACCAAAACGAACATCATCATATTCGAAAATGAGAAGCGTATCACCGAACAAGCGCTCATTGAAGGTGAAATAGACCCGCGAGTTGTCTTGAGCCTGATGCCGATTCTCAATCAAGAAGTGGTACAAGGCTCGGACGGCATACAGATCTATGGCGGTATCACAACGCTAGTAGAGTACTTCTTGCAACAAAACGATCTCTCGACCATGCCAACGAATGTCAATGGTCCCTTTGGTGACAATTTGCTGCATTTCGTAAAGCGGTACCTTCAATTTTGGAAGAAGCGGAAAGGGATGGCAAGTGTTACAAACGATCCGACCGTGTTCAAGACTGTCGATGCAGCATTGCTTCACATTCTCCTACTTCTAGACCAAGGAAGTCCAAAGGGCACTTCCAGCCCCGGTGCCCATCGAGCAGAACTCTACGAACTGGTCGATAAGGAAGTAGAGTGCTTCGATCGCGCTGTTGAGCTGTTAGAACAGTTCAAGCGTCTCTTCCTGCTCAGTCGTTTGTACCAAGGCAACTGCAAGGCTTCCGTCAAGGCGTCACATGTGTTAGCGACCTGGAAACGGATCTTGGAAGGCGAGGAAGACAAGGGAGGCGAACTTGTAGATGGCGAGCATAAGGTGCGCGACTATCTACGAAAGATTCGCGATCAAGCTCTGGTAGAAGAATACGGCGCATGGCTAGCGAATAGAAATCCAAAGCTGGGCGTTCAAGTCTTTGCGGACGATCAGAGTAGAGTCAAATTTGACCCTACTCGAGCTGTCGCACTACTGAGAGACAAGGCGCCAGGCGCTGTCAAAGACTACCTAGAGTATCTTGTCTTCGGCCAGAAAAAGGTATGCCCCTCATCACAGTTATACTCACTTTACTAACACCATCCCCAGCACCCAGAGTACGTAAACGAACTAATCGCATTCTACCTCTCCACCGTAATCACCGAGCTCGAAAGCACCCCCTCATCCCGCGCCACCCTCTCCCAAAGCTACGAAACCTACCGCATCCTCGAACCCCCCAAACCAACCTACTTCTCCTTCATAACCGACAACGCGCTCGACGCAGAATGGTGGCACGCACGCATCCGCCTGTTGCAACTCCTCAGCGAAACCTCGTCCTACGACGTTCACACCGTCCTATCCCGGCTGCAGCCCTACAGCCAAGAACTAGTCTCCGAAATGATCATCCTAAACGGCCGCCAAGAGCGGCACGAAGAAGCGCTGAAATTACTTACGCACGGTTTGGGCGACTACAACACAGCAATAAGCTACTGCCTCTACGGCTACGCATCTATCCACCGCCGCGCCACCCCCGGCGCACCGCCCGTGTCGCACAGCCAGATCCCCACACGATCAGACCAATCACGCATGTTTGGCCACCTCCTCAGAGAATTCCTCCAGATAGAAGATCTGTCGCAAAGGGTGGAGCGTACCTCTGAACTCCTCGAGCGGTTTGGCGGCTGGCTTGATGTAGCTGATGTGTTGGCGATTGTGCCTGATGAGTGGAGTGTGGATGTTTTTAGCGGGTTTTTGATTCAGGCGTTGAGGAAGTTGGTGAGGGATAAGGCGGAGAGCGATGTTGTGAGGGCGCTTAGTGATGCGCAGAATAGTCAGGCTAGTTGTGAGTTGGTGGAGAAGAGGGAGGAGGGTGGGGCAAGGTTTGAGAGGGTGGAGGGGGATTTGGGGAGGAGTGATGGGGTTATGTAGGGTATAGCGTTCAGGTTGTAGTTGAGTAGTATCAGCTGTGCGAAGCTAGCACGGGTGTTTGGGGACTGCAGTTGTATTGCGACTCCATCAACTGGCGTCCTGGCTTGTTCATGCTCGATGTTCAGCACTAGCACATTCATCATGATAGCATATGGCATATACTACATACACAGCATCACTCAACTGCGGTCTGCCCGCGCGTTATTTCTGCACCAACCTGTTCATCAGACCGATTGATATAGATGGCGATTTTGTGTAGTTTGAAGTATTGAAATGATGTTTTGACCAATGGTTCTGAAAGCCCACTCAACACCGCTCGCGCCTGCCTCGCGACGGTCTTGGCATTCTCACACCCGGAGGCACGAGCAACGCCGGAGCATAGCCACCAACGTCTCTCACTTCTCTTGCTTACTCAACTCAACTTCAATTCAATTTCATCACCCAGACAGCACTCGCAATCGCTTGCTTACATCATGCAGCGTCGTATGGTGTGTACCATCAATTTTTGCATCGTGTTCTCCGATTTGGCGCTAACGGTGGCAGCTCACGAAAGATGAGGAGGCCTCAGCCCAGAACGAGGACCTAGAGGTGCGCCGCGAGGATCAAGAGAAGATCAACAAGTTCAGTTCGCTGCATCAGAAAGAGGAGCTCCTGGAAGAGGAGCTGAGGGCAAAGATTGTACGATTCAAACCGCCGCATTCGGCCTGCACTCGGTCTAACAACAGCGCAGAAGGAGAAGGAAGATCTGGAGGAGATCTCAGGCGAACTCGAGCTGGTTGATGAGGAGGAGAAAGTACCGTGAGTTATCTGCGATGAGCTGCAAATCGGCTTTTCATCTTCGTATGGCCAGAGTATCAATAAGCTAATCACAACACACAGATACAAGGTCGGCGATTGCTTCGTCTCATTACCCCAACCGCAGGTCCTTGAGCTTCTGGGTTCATCAACAGAGACCATTGACAGCGAGGTAGAAGGTCTCAAGGCCAAGCTAGAGGGCATCCAAGAAGAGATGGGAGAGCTGAAGAAAGCACTCTATGGCCGCTTTGGCCGCAGCATCAACCTCGAGACGTAGGCGATGCATATGCCGTAGACTTGCAGCGATGGTTCGCCGACGAAGATACATGCAACAAGAATCGAGATTCAACACACGTCCCAGTCTGAAATCGCATTCCGAGATGGATCGAATTCCGAATCGGCGTTCCATAATTCCTAACGCATACCGTCGGACTTTACTAATCCGCAGACCGAAGACATGGTAGTCGTCTGAGTCAAACGCGCATTCCCTTCCTCGCAAAACGAAAGAAGATAACGAATGTGACTCATTGCAGGTTTATCTTCCAACAATGTACCGAGTTCCACTTTGGAGAGCCGCGCATCGGTAAGTTTGCCGATGCCTAACGACGTTTTGTTCCCCGTCCGGCCTCGTAGGGCGCACGCAGCTAAACGGTACCCGTCATGCATTCGTAAGTTAAGCCCCGCCTACTCTGCATGCGGTAACGGCTACGATCGACATACCAGGTAGACGTGCAGCCACGAAAATTATTGATCAGGGGAATTGTGGCGCCTACTTAAACACCTCGGATGCTAATCCACAAGTGCGCGGGGTCGCGCATTATACTACCCAAGTTCTAGTCTGTTACTACCCGTTTTCCTTCTCTAACTGCATTCGCAAAGTCATCCGTTCTGTCTTTTTGAGTTCTGAATTGCTCAAGAGCAATTTGCGTCATTCCTACAGGTATTCAATTCAGCATGGAGAGTGCAGATCTGGAACGAACTTATTCCCGGGAACAACAAGGCTTAGGGCCGGGCCATGAAGCCATTACCTCACCAGTCGCACTTGTCCGCAGTTTTACTTCAAAGAGTCAGAGGAGTACGACGAGTCGGCAGAGTTCAAGAAATCGCTGTACGCATAACCTCGTCTTGACTGTGATGTTGTGGTTATGGTTTACTAACGGGTCAACATAGCCGGTGCTATAGAAAGCTCGCGTGCTGCGCGACTGAGGGAACTTGAGAAAGATGTTGGCGCATCTGACGATACGGAGAAGGAGGATGCGATTGAGAAGGTTGCGTCGAGGACACCTTCAACGTTGAGTTCGCATGGACGGTCGGATTCGCCGTCGCCGACGTCGAGTGTTCACGACGGACATACGAGTGGAAGACGGGTTATCCGCTTTGAAGATGGAGATCCTGAGAATCCTAATAACTGGGGTCGTGTGAGTTGGACAACGGAAAAGTGAGTTGAGGAAGGACTAACAAGTTTCCAGTGGAAGAAGATCTACGCCCTGTGCGTCGCCATCATGAGCGGTAAGTCGTGCCCACACCATCTACTCCAACAGTCCAACAGCCCAACTAAGTGATACAAAGTCATGAACAGCACCATGACCTCCAGTCTAGCAGCCGGAGCCACAGCCCCAATATCCCGCCATTTCAACCAAACCAACGAGTACGCGCTCATTCTGCCCACCTCAATGTATCTAGTCGGCTACGCATGCGGCCCCATGCTCTGGGGCCCTCTCTCAGAATCCTACGGCCGCAAAGGAACCATGGTAATCTCCTTTGCCTTTTTCACAATCTTCTCCATTGCGTCGGCGCTCTCGCCGAACTTCGCTTCGCTCGTCATCTTTAGGTTGTTGGTGGGTGTGGGAGGGAGTTGCGCGATCAGCGTTGTTGGAGGTATATGTGCGGATATCTATCATAATCCTAAGTATCGAGGGAGGAGTATGGCGATTTTCATGGTATGTAGCTCCGCTTGCCTTCCACCTACTAAAAGAGTACCCTGACCAACGTATGACAGGCAGCAACAACATTCGGACCCATTCTCGGACCCCCGATATCAGGCTTCATCAGCGTGGTATCCTGGAGCTGGGCCTTTTGGATCGGAGTCATCCTCGCCGGAGCAACATGGCCGCTCTTCTACTTCTTCGACGAAACATACGGTCCTACGATCCTAAAGCGGCGCGCAAAGCGACTACGCAAGGAAACGGGTAATGAGAATATCATCGCACCGCTTGAATTGGAGAAGACGGATTTAAACCACATAGTCACCGTCATCCTGACCCGGCCACTGCGTATGATCTGCTTCGAACCTCTTGTACTATTCACCTGTCTATATCTAAGTTACGCCTGTAAGCCAACCTTCCCCCACCATCCCTGCACAAAGCCATCCCCTTACTAATCCCACCCCCAAAGACGCCATATTCTACATATTCCTGCAATCCTACCCCATAATCTTCACCGGCATCTACCATTTCAACGCCGGCGAAACAGGCCTAGCCTTCCTCCCTATCGGCGTCGGCGCCCTCATCTCCGCCGGCATCTACTTGTCGTGGGACTGGTACTTGGCCCGCGCTCAACGCCTCAACCGTCCTTGGTCGCGCAACGAAGAGATGCGGAGACTGCCGCTCGCTTGCATCGCTGGCCCGTTCTTCGTTATCAGCGCGTTCTGGCTGGGTTGGACGAGTAGAGAGAGTATCCATTGGATTGTGCCTACGCTCGCGGGGATACTGTTTGGAATGGGGTATCTGTGTCTCTTCATGGCTTTACTCAACTATCTCGTCGATGCATACGAAGTCTTCGCCGCGAGTGCCATGGCGGCGGCGAGTTTATCGCGGTCTTCGTTTGGGGCTGTGTTGCCTTTTGCTGCGAAACCGATGTATAGGACTATGGGCGTAGCTTGGGCGACTAGTTTACTGGGGTTCTTCAGTCTGGCGCTGTGTGTTGTGCCATTCGTGTTTGTGAGGTGGGGTGGGAGGATGAGGGATCGGAGTCAGTTTTGTCAGTATCTGAGGAGGAAGAAGAGGGAAGAGGAGGAGGAAGCGGAGAAGGAGAGGGAGGGGTTGAGGGAGAAGAGAGTTATGGTACAGCCCAATGAGTTTAAGGGGAAGGAGGATGTGTAGGATTAGGTTTTGAGTCTAATTGCGATACGGGAGAAATCGGTATAGCTAATCTCAAAGATCATCCAACATATACCCCCTCCTCTTCTCAGGCTGAGCCTTGATGACCCAGCTATGCAGTACAATCTCATGCCACTGCACCCTCTCTGCATTCTGCATGCGAAACACCGGCTCCCTCTCAACGACAAATTCTTTGCCTTTTCTAGGCCCAATGCGCGGTAGGAAGAAGCGAAACGATACCCAATACACAATACAACATGTTAGCATTATCCACGACAACAATCCTGTCGCGTACCAAGGAAGCCCGGGAATGATGTCGTGAACGTCGAGGTCTGAATATTGGAACGGTGGTATCCAGACTGCGACCAAGGGGAAACCGCCCGCGATAGCGTAGACAAGAGCAGCGGTGACACTCAGCCAAGTTGGAAGAGGCGATTTGAGAGACCATTTTGTAAAGGTACGGAGATACAGCATGCCGACTGCCATGATGAAGGTTGGTATGATATCGATGAGGTACACGTATAGGTTTGCGAGAATCCTGTACGCGGATGAGGGTTTCATGGGCCATGTTACCAGTATGAGAAACACGGCGCATACCCAGTGGAGGAAGAGCGCGCCTAGGGGTGTTGGCTCTGACTGGCTGGAATGGTGTTTCTCTCGGTATTTGCGAAAGAGAATGCGGTTCTCGCCGAAGAATTTGGCGAATGGTAGGACGCCTTCTTTCGCTATTTCTTGTTTCGCGCGGGCAAGCGTGAATGTCATGCCGATGACATTGCCGAAGCTGTTGATGGTCGTGAAGATGGCGAGGATTGCAGATGCGTGTTTGTACCCAATGACGTTGTTGAGGAAAGCGAGGGCTACATCGGTGGACGCAAGCTGTTGCTCTTTACTGACCACGATCATCTGAGTGCGTCAGCGCATATCTCGGAGTTGTTGGTGTGACTGCCTACGTAGCTGACGTTGACGAGCATGTATAAGACGCAGATCATTCCGAGAGCGATTATGATGCCTTTAGGGAAGTTCTTGCGTGGTCTGTGGATCTCGCAGAGTATCTGAGTGTGCGTAAGTGGTAGGTCGATGGATCGTCAGACCGATCAAGACTTACATAGTTAGCTTGGTTGTACCCCCCATAGGCGTAAAAGACCGCTAGCATGCCTTGTGTATAGCTGTCGGCGTTTCCGTGTGTCCGCGCAAACGAGTTCTTGTATTCCATATTGGCCGTCGCGTGATTCGTATGCGCGACACCGGCCAATACGCATATCGCCATGATGGGGAACACGCAGAGAATTGCAATCTTGACGACCACGATGACGTTATTGAGAATGATGCCTCCACGTCGAGTGAACGCGTGCAAGAAGCAGGGAAGCGTCACTGCCATTATCGCAAGACATCGTGCCGCGGCATCCTTGGCTGCACCTCGATCGGTTCCTGGAGAGCCTATTATGTCGTCGCCGAAAGTCAATGCGTTGGCTGCACTCGAAGCAACGATCACGTAGTTGACTGCGTAGAAGGAGAAGACGAAGAACTTGGGTCGCTTGATGAGGTAGTCCACCTAGTCGCGGTCAGCCGTGTATCAATGGCAGGCTTGCAGTTCTGCACTCACGTAGTTCATGTCTCCACCATTGCGTACAACTGGCACTCTTTCGCCATCAATGGAATGCCGAGGTGTAGTCAAGCCGAACTCGATGTACAATATAGAACCCGCGATGGCTGCAAGTCCGCCGAAAGCCCAAAAGCAAAGCGTGATCCCCGGACTCTCGGTGGCCTGCATAACGGTCCATGGTGTGCGGAATATGCCGGTACCGATGACTTGCTGGAGTATGAAGGCCACTACTGAGAAGAGACCTAGGGGGTTCGGTGTGCTTTTCGTTGCGACAACATCCTTGTCGTTCAAAGCCTCGAGGTATGCGCGGTCTTCTTCGTCTAAGCACAGGCTGCGGTCTCCCGATTGGACGCTACATGATTCGTCCATCGTCCGATAGTGAGCATCGATTTGGAGCTGGTGAAGCTTAGGAATCTGGTTGGATAAGTAGTACCTGTTCAGCAAGAGCCGGCAATGGTATCTGAATGACTTATCCCTTGAGTTTCATGCATTAGTTATCACCTGGCATGAGAGCTGCAAAACAAGCTCCTTTCTGCAGCCCTTGCTCGTGGTTTTACTCTTTCCGTCGATTGTTAGAGCCTTCGCGCCGCGGAGCTGCGACTCCTTGCTTAACGATACTTGCCATGTATACAGTAGCCACTAAAATGAGGTCGCTTCGAAATTCGATAGACAGCCACTTTGCATAAGAGCGCAAGGCTAAATTCGAAAGTGAACAAAGCATCACTTGCCACAGTTGAGTAGATGCAGGGGATGTGTGAGGAAGGGATGCGCGTGTGCCAGATAACGACAGACAGCTCCTGAGGTATCGTCGTCGGTCCCTAGCCTGCATATCCTCAAAGCATTGTAACTGTCGGTAACATGCCGTGGGATTTCGGTGTACTCAGCTTTATTTGCGGCGCCATCAAGTTATCGTGGATCATATACGAGAAGGGGTTCACGGAGGAGAAGTCGCTGCGTTTGTCCTCCCCAGCCACCCCACCCACGTTCCGCGCTAACCGTATTGTCTTAGCGCGACGGTATCTCGAGTTTGGTGACGCGTTGTTCCGGCTGCACTGGAGTCTCAACACCATCGAATCCATCGTCAGAACCGCGAACACCGGCTTAGAAAACGAAAGGCTCGAGAGCTATGGACCCGAGTTATATGATACCACAGCGCTGATCGATATCGTGGGCAACTTCCGCTTGACGCTGGAACAGTGTCAGAAGTTGCTCAATGACGTCAGCAAATTTCGTACTGGCAAAGACGGCTTCATCACCAACATCATCTACAACCTGAATACGGATGCGCAGGTCAGAGATTTGACTGAGCGTTTGAAATATCACAGCGTCAAGATTGGTCTCGTTCTCGACGCGTTCAACATTCATGTCCAAACACAGCTGCGGAATCTCCACAATGAACAACACCAAGATCTGGCGGAGCGAATTCAGGAGCTGAAGCACCTACTTGTTGCTAGTCGCAATTCAAGCACCGACGCGTATCACCCGGTGATCAAGCGAGATATAGAAGTCCCTGTCGAGCTTGCCGAGCGTTTCACGGCGGAGTTACAGCGACGTTCTTCATTGTATACGTTTGACTGGGAGAAAACATCTGACGGGCCGCAAGTATCAGTTAGAGAAGGCCTAGAAGCCTTTTGCAGCCATTTCAATGGCGTTCATTCTGATGGAGATGCGACATCATATCTTCGCCTTCTCAAAAGCATATGGCTAATGGACAAGATTAAGGAAGGACACGATTGGTCAAGTATTCAAAGCTCAAATCCAGGCGGTCTCTATGATAGGTGCATCAGGGAAATGGATCGACGACTTCGCATAGAGTGCGCTCGAATCGCCAGCAGTCCAATCGCGCGCCCCCGACTATCTACCATCATGCGGTCTCCCGAGGAAATGCTTGCTATCTGGCCGAGACCTATCCCCATTAACGATAACGTGCACGAAACGAATCTTGGGGTTCTTCTAGACATCTCGGTCGTCTCCGGTACGCAGACACATACCTTTCGCGTAGTGCGTAACATGGATGGGACGTTGGGAGTGGAAGATACCACCACGACTTCAACAACATCATGCACTGGCAGCAGTTCCAGGGACAGAGTAACACAAAGACTCAACCTTGACCCAAGGAAGGTTTTCCTGGTCCCAGTGTATGCTATACCGAAAGTTCCAGGCTCGCAAGATGCTTCTTGTAGCGTAAGGCTGCAGAGCTCGCCTGATGACACAAATGGCCTGACTCCCGAATTTCGCTCATGTACCGACTTGTTCAGATTGCAACACCTCATCACGGGTTACAGATGCATACATCAAAGGTGGGTAGCTATTAGCCTACCAAACTTGTCGCGCAAGCAGCACTTGAACTCTATGACCTACATGAGACTGACAAGTTTGAAGGAGAAACGTAAGAGTCGCTTCGCTCATGAAAGGTCAGGGCTTCCCAATGATCGGTGGCGCATCCAAAGCAAGACCAAGCAAGACCACCGAAGTACTGGCTGAGATCGGAAACATACAGTTGTGGCAGAAAGCTTCTTTCGAAAAGCGACCTGTGTCCCAACACCAATACAGCAGGTCGTCAGAAGACCTGTTAAATTCTCCAGAAACTTTATCGGGTGCATGGAGTCCTGAGCCACTCAGCGAACGGACTTTCACCTCGACATCCAGTATCATGAGCAACATCTCCAGCGCTCACTCACAAGAGATATCACTGGGTTCTGCAGTCAGGGCAGTGCAATTGACACAACCAGAGCCGCCAGTACTTGTGGTATTTCTCAAACAGCCAGATACAGGGCAGCTATCCTTCCTAGCCATTGAACTCGACGAGCGCACGAAGATCGAGCCAAAAAGCTGCGACTGTCGAAGCACCAAAGCCAGCTGTACAGTCAGTGTTTTAGAGCGATCTGGTACACCGCTGCTAGCACGTCGTTTCTATGCAGGGAAAGGGCTCAACAGCTGGAATCTGGCGGCTGTCGGTGCACACTGGTCACCATCTGACACAGGTGCGGTACGTGTGCGGGACATGTACTGGCTCCGGTTCGAGTTCCCGAACGACGCTGAGCGCAAGAAGTTTCATCAGAATGTCGCTGATCTCGTTCGGATCTTCTCTGCAAGGATGAACGACTACCAGAGAGACTTAAGATCTGTTCGAGGAGCTCACATCATCTCACGATGAGGCTGAGAATGTTCGGCGTTGCTCTCACTTCCTTCATCTATCGTACTTGTCAATCTTTAGTCTAATGTTAATAACGCTCCTTCGTCTCAATATCATGTAGTAGCAGTCTGCGGTGATGTTCGCTCAGTTCCAATGATCTTGCTCAGCCCTTGTACTAGTTTGAGCCAAGGAAGCTTTTATGATAGATCATGTTCCCAGATTGTGTCTAGACTGCGCCTATAAGTATATGCAGCATACAAGAGAGACACACAAAGTTGACGTCAGTCATATGAATGTCTTAGAAAACACAACTACCTCAATGCGAACGATCTAGCGAATGCGAATTTAGGCTGAGGGTCGCACCTGACGCCCGGTGCTAGCGAATGCGACATGCTCGGCCTGCGCCACCGACCTCTCGCACTCGTCTACACTTCGCCAATACACTTGGCACTCTATGGTAGAGATATGCAACATTCTTCATAAGAACGGCGTGGACTTCGAAGCCGGAATTAAAATGTACATTGATGTATACACCATTGTAGTTTTCGTATAACACCTTCTAAGGTCTACAAAATCGACATACCACACTTCCTTGACTTTACGATGACGGCGCACTCGCAGTCTGGCCAAGAACACCAACCTGAGTCCATCGCAGCTAGCATCACTGCGATTACCAGCGAAGAAACATGGACAACTCATGCGCGACGATGGAAGTTTCTTCTACTGTTGTTACCAGGCTTCTACACCGCGAGTATGGATCTGACTGTCGTCGCGACAGCGCAGCCGTTCATCGCGTCTCATTTCCGTAATTACTCTCTCCGAGGACCGCCAGTGTACATGCTTACTATCAAACAGAAGCTTTGAACCAGATTACCTGGATCGGCACAGCCTTCACACTCACAGACACTGCGTTCGTCCCCCTATTCGGCCAACTAGCTGATGTCTTCGGACGGTACGCAGCCCTGCAGATTGCTGTTATAATTTTGACTTTGGGCGGCGTCCTTTGCGCAAGCGCACAAATTTGGCCAATCTTGGTACTTGGTCGAGCACTACAGGGTGTGGGGACGGCCGGCATGTCTACATGCTCCCTCATAATTCTGGCGGATAATGTGTCTCTCAAGGAGCAAGCGTTCAATACTAGCATCTTTCACTTCTTGATCGGCATCGCGTATGCAACTGGACCTTTGGTATGACTCCTAGCAGCTGAGCTTATTACTGCTAACAGGTAATCAGATCGGAGGCTACATGACGAATGTGCATTGGCGATATGTCTTTGTGCTCTTGTCCGCCTTGAGCGCAATAAGCATCATCACTATTGCGTTCCTGCGACCTGATCTGAAGAAAGGGAGGTACTCGGTGGCTCATCCGCAGTCGGGTCAGACTTCTCTTAGGTCTTTTCTCGATGGATGCGCATGTATCGATCTGATCGGGGTAGGAACGTTCGTCGTTGGAGTGGCGCTGATTATCCTGGCGACCAGTTGGGGTGGCTCAACTTATGCTTGGACATCACCAGCCGTTCTAATACCGCTTATCACCGGCCCGTTGTTGCTGGCAGTGTTCGTGGTATACCAACGATATATGGCACCGGGCCGACATCTCGCGCAACGGCTTCCACTAATCGTGCCCGTGGTGCCATACCAACTCTTTCACGAGAAGGATGTGACCCTGGTCTGTATCATTTCCGCAGCAACAGGTGCAGCTCTCTACGCCTGCTTCTACTTCGCCGGTATCTACTTCACTCTTGTTGAGGGTTTCGACGCTGGTAAAGCTGGGCTCCAGCTGCTGTTCTACGTTCCCGGGATCGGTGTCGGCGTCTACACCGCCATTGTCATGTGCAATGTATACCCTAGACAGACCATCTGGCCCCTACTGATCGGCACAATCGTAGAGACAGGTAGCATCGGAGCACTCTCGTGGGCGATACGCGCTCGCCAGAGGACCGCTGTCAACGTGCTCATGGGGGTCGCTGGGTTCGGCACTGGCATCCGCTTTATGCCAGAGAACCTACACCTGACAGGAATGTACCGAGACAAGATCGCTGTCATTCTTAGCCTTTTGAGCTTCGCTGGTCCTTTCGGTGGAACCATAGCTTTGACGGTGATGGGCTCAGTCTTCCAGAACAAGATGGCGGCCTACTTCATCAGCAGCGAAGGATCATCTAGATTCGACGTCAACTCACCCACCGCATTGAATGCTATCAGCGACCTTTCGTTGGAAGATCTGGAGCGCTTCCGATCTGCTGCCGCCAATGCTATCAGCTGGTCGTTCATCTCCATTTTGCCATTTTTAGCCCTCAGCATCCTCGCTGCGTTGATGCTCGGCAACGTCTGGATATGCAAGGACAAGAAAGCGATGAAGGCGACGTCTCCCAGCGACCCGACAGTGAATACGGACGTAGCGCTGCAAGATCAGACGCAGAGTGTGCAGCGGGATGGAAGGCCGGACGTGCTGACCGGAATCTACCTTTACGCTGTATTGAGAGGAACACCAGCTTCACAGCGACACTTGGGCCCGCTGGAGGAGCGGTTAGATCGTCACGAGGAGAAGAAAGACAGCAGGGAGAGTGCTTCGCTATGATGTCATGATGTCATTCCGTTTATGGTTAGACCGAACCCACGGGCCAAATGCCCCTATCGTAACGAAGTGGTTGGAGCCCCAGCCATCCGCGTTCCTACTGTAGCGATCCCGCAACATGAAAATTGTCTATCGCATCATGCATCTGCCTCAAGGCTGGCCACAGTTTTCTTCGTCCGCTTGAGTTGACTCATCTTCGTGATCAGCTCCCCGATTGCGGCCACGGTCCTACCGCGCATGATTTCGAAAACCGCAATGTCCGCAGCAAACTCCTTGCCAATCCAGTTGCGCAGCTCGACTGCGACAAGTGAATCCACCCCGAAAGCGTGAAGGGGTTTATTGACGTCAATCTCCTCTGGAGGGATGGACAGTGCGCGGGCGAGCTTGCGCGCCAGCGCCTCGAGGACTACTGCTACTCGCTGCTCATCGTCCTCCGCAAGATTGAACAGCGTAGCGGCACTGACGCTACTCTGTGTGTTGGACTGGTTTGTGCCACGGGCTTGCGAGAAGGATGCGAAGAGTGGGCGCTGCAACACCTCAGCTGGTTCCAAATTGCGTTCGATCAGATCAACGGGAGTTACTAGACCCATGGCGATCTGACTCTTGTCTATTGTCATCGGCATCTTCGTATGTTCTGGGTCACAGTATATGGTCAACACCGCCAGGAACTCATCTTCTTCGATCTGGCCGAGACTGCCGGACTTTTTGAAGTTCTCGTGTAAGCG